TCCATCACATTCCAGTTTTTGTCTTGCCTCAAGGACTCCAAGATAATGTTTGCGCAGTGGTGCAGGTGCTCGTACGCTACAAGCCTGGGAGGGTATGACGTGCCGTCCCGTATGATCTGTCCCAAGCTGAGGAAGACATAGACGCAGTGGGTCAGATGCTCTCTCCGCTCGCCCCAGAGATCCTTCTGATTGTCCAACGCCTTGTCCCAATTGTCGCCCACAGCCGGCTCCTCGCCGAAAGGATCGATGTAGTATTTCCATTCTTCGGCAGCCAGAAATTCGTCGTTCGCGTAGTGAGGGCAGCTTGGGGGAAGCCACGCCCATAGCAGCTGGTCGAAAGTGCATCCAAGAGCTAGAGCATCAGCGGAAGAGTTCCCGCACAGACGAACAGGCCTCTGGCTCTGCGTATTGGTTTTGGTTGAACGAGCTCCAAAGTGCATGCCCAGTGCTGCCAGAACGCCCGTCGCGATGATGGCAGCGGTGGCACAAATGGCTGCTCTCCGAAACGTCCAGGTGAACCACTGTTGTGGCGCGATAGTTTGCTGTTGCTCATCTTCTCCCTCCGCATGGGAGCGGGTTGGCCGCTTCTCGTCCAAGCTGTCTGTCCCGATCTGCTTATATGGCCACGTCCACCAAGGCAACACTCTTTGGGCCATAGAGTCGACAGGTGGGAGAAAACGGATGTGCATGGCGAAAATGGTGACACTGGGAAGCTTTCCCCCAAACGATATTGTGTGCAACTTTCGGCATCAACTGTGTCCAGCCTGGCCGTTGCAATTAACAATGATTAGCCACGTTTTGAGGACAAATTATCCTAGACGGTGGACTTGCAGTTGAATTCGGGTTAGTTTTACCAGTCGAGTGAATGAACATTACCTTGGCGAGAAAATTCTGTCACACGTAAGGTCAAGGAAGTAATGCATAACGTCAGCATGGGAAGACTTCATGGTGGAGATACTATTGACCTCTCTAATCTTCTGATAATTGCAATCATTTTCTATACTCGTCAAATTAACCTACGTGTCGTTTCACACAATAATGATGAATATGTTTGTACGCATGTTGTAGGTAACTCTTATGCTACGAACATGCCGTGAAATCGCGCGAAGTGCCTAAGTTTGCAAGAATAGTCAGGAGTCGGTTTATTTGACTACTTCCTACAAGCTGATGTAACGGTCTCGTAAGACACTACACAGGCTCTGAACTCGTCAGCAGGTATGTAATTGGTTATAAGCGAGCTGACGTGATAGCAAAGCAAGGCAAACGACTTCCGAAATGTGGTGTTTGCCTCCGCCAATTTCGAAAATAACTTCGGAGTGTTCTGTCACGGTTTTTACATGACACTCTGGTAGAATACCATCAGGCTACCATGGATCGGCCGTCAAGACTCAGTATCAGCCCTCGCGACGAATCGGAAGACGGCCTACTTGGAGGTGACAGTGCTTCAGCCAGAAGAACAACATGCAGTAACTGCAATTCGAGGAGAAGACCAAGTTTCTTGACCCTCTTACCATGGATGCTATCCACAGTACTTCTCGCATGTCTCGTGATCCTAACAGTGAGGTCGTCTCAAGGCTGTGCCAAGGCGGGATTCTGGCGCAACAGCGAGTTTGGTGAGTCTGCACCCAGGATATACTGGCAAAACGCAACACACCACAAAAGGTCTGACCCTTATCAAGCGACAGTGACAAGGGAGCTATCACCCAGTTTCAGAGAGGTCCAGTTCGACGCGACACTGAAGTATAATGAGAGTCATCAAGTCTATCGTCCTGTCACAGACCCACCTTACGTTGGGGCGCCGAGCCCAGAAATTGATACTGCCTGGGAGAACCTTCTCGGAGGTAAATCAAACAACTTATGGCCATGCGAATCAGATTTCATCTAATGCATAGATGTAGCTGTTAATGTGTTTGTAACCCCTCAAGAGCAAAAGCTGCTAGGGGGTGGATTATGGCTCGATCCTGAGACAGGCCTGCACATGGCACAGTGAGTTTTTTCCAAGCTCTGCTCCAAGAAATACTCTGACATGACTCACAGAGTCTCTCTCTTTCATGATCTTCATTGCGTCGTAAGTCCAGTCTCCAGAGCAGAATCGTAATTATGCTCTAAAGCTGACGTTCGGAGAACATGATGAGGAAAGCCCTAAATTTGGACTACTACTCAGATTTGAGGGATCCGACATTGCAGGCCCATATCGGTGCGATACCATTGCCCTCCCTTCCAGTTTTCATAGGTGCACTTTACTAAATGTAGGCAGAGCATTGCGTTGACGCCATCCGTTTAAGTATCATGTGCAATGGGGACATGACACTCATCCCCATCAAGTGGTCTGAAAATAGGAGCTGGATAGTGCCCGTCTTCGAAACGGTCCACACCTGCCGGGACTACGATGCACTAAAGCGATGGTCAATAGATAGGGATGCTGCAGACCCAGATCTTCTTTATAAGAATGCAGAGAGATTGAGGGAGAAGGAGGGTGTTTTGTGGCCGTAATCAATGCCACAATTTCTAGTGTCCCATATACGCCGCTTAATCTGTTTAGAATCGATGAAGTTTATGGGTAGGATTTCCAAGTTCCTCGGCGAGCACAATGCAGCTACAGCTCTTAATTGATATAAATAAAGATTTCGCACACTGTAAACAATGATATCCCAGAGGCCAAGGACTTCGCTGGATGTTATTGATGGTTGGTTGCCACGCGGCCATCTAGGGCCTGTGACACTGAAAATGGCAATATGCGGAGAGGCATGGCGCATTCTTGTTGCCGGTTAAATCAAGACTCCCTGAGTAATATAGTCCATCATTTCTTCAATTACCCATCCGTTGGTTTCATTGCGGGGTGGTCCCGAGGTCGTAGGAGTGGTACAGGTTCTCAAGTGTTCCAGAGATAATACATATTGTTACTCCAGCCCAGCTACTCCATAATTATGAAGACAATGAATTTGTTTTACATCTCAATGTGTATGTTCGCATTTTCTTTGTCTGATCTTTCGACTCTGTTGGCTACTTCTAACTAATATCTATAGCAAAGCAAATCAGACTCAGTATTCATGACGTCAAAGACGTGAATATCGGGTGCCATGATGCCCCCAATTGATATCGTATCGCTCAGGGAAGTCTGTTTCACGACCTCATGCTTTTTGGGGTTCCCGTAATCACTGAGCCGTGGGCGCAGATTACGCTGCTGCCACATGGACCATAATCTATCCAATTGGCTGTTCCAGCGCATAGGATTAGCTGTCAGTCTAAGAGTATTAGTCTAATAATTAGTGAACTTGGTCCATACCTATGATGTAGGAAGAATAGTGGATCATTAGGAGCAGTGAACTTAATGAAATCGCCCTGGATGCCGTTCGGGATCTGATTGTGAGGGCCGTCCTCGAGCTTTACGAAAAAGCTGGCATAGTCTGGCTGTCGAAGAATCTCCTCAATCACAGCAGGCTCTACCTTGTCGCCATTTAGACGACCCGAGACTTTGCCATCGGTAAAGCCACGCGAGAGACAGTGTGTGTCATCTTCCAAACCGAAAACATCGAGCTCTAGATCGGAGAAAGGCCCATCCGTAACACAGTAACCGCCACCGACAGATTCGGGCACGGATGAGTTACCATTACCTCCAAACCCCGTGGTGTTTGAAAATACGGGTGAATCGGCGAGAGATTCCCTACGGAATATTAGCTGACGCGATCATGATAACCTGGGTATATTTAAGTAGTTCGATACCAGTCCAGGCTCCAGTCCCAGTACCTAGTCAGTCCCATTTAGCTCTAACTTGTGATAGTTTTGAGGTTCAGACTTACGTTAAGCTTCCGTTGTAGCCGCACGTGCTTCTCAATTCGTTCTCGTAGACATGGAGCAAATAGCGGTGCCAGGGAAGAAAGAGGGCAGTATTATGAGCTACAGAGTCGCATCAGTCAGCAAATAGCAGACGTCTGCCTCGACAAGGATTGCGGGAGAGGACTCGGTTGGACCTTAACCTCACAATGTGCATCGCAGCACCCAGAAACCAAAACGCTGGGAGTGGGTTGAGACTTACAATCACCGCCCACTACAGCATGTAGACGAGGGAAATCATGATACAACGAGGTGCCTGCCGTCACTTTTGAGGGCTTCGATAGTAGACATCTCACAGCACTAATGTAATCGGTCTTTTCATCGCTGCTTAGACTGCGCCATTCGCGGCGAATTGAAGGCGCTTGGCACCTTGAATTCTGTGCTTGGTTGAGCTTGGAGATAAGACCTTTGTCCTGGATGAATTCGCCGCACAAGAAGCCGGTTGCAAAGAAGAAAAGGCTCAAAATAGTAATTACGAAAGTAGAAGGCCTCTTCGTGATATTCGTCCTCTTTTCAACCGATATGCTCTCTGGATCTTCGGTGTCATTGTCCTGGGCGTGAGGAGGCCGCAGAGCGACATAGCGTGCTTGGTTGTAACTCAGCAAGAACATGATACATGAGTTGTTGTGGGAAAACTGGGAACGGCAGGTTACGTGAAAGAGGAGCGAAAGAACAATATCGACGTAGCGATAGACCAACGCTGCCAAAGGAGGTTCCTGTTAAGCTGACGATGTTTATTACACATCCAGCCTTTCCCGGAGATTTCCAAACTTTCGCAGTTGATTTTCCCAGCGTGAAGGGGGTAGCGAATTGGCTCATGAATGAGAAAACTGGCGGGCTTACCATGAGTCTTACGTGATTCTCCCATCCAATATGCGACAGGTTGACATAAGCAGCGAAGTACATGTAATTACGGATTAACGAAGGAAAAACGCTCCACATGATTCTGATCCCTAGGCTTCAACTGCACTCAACTTGACCCTGATGCAATAACAAGGTTCTAAAATAAAGGAATAACGGCTATTGAAATTTTACTGAAACTGCTGTGCAGGGGTGCTCAAATCACACCACCTCCTCCATCCCTGGACGCGAAACAACCGCAACTCGGAACCGTTATCCATCTCACGGAACTGCATGTTTTAGTAGGGAACTTTGAACATCGAACCATGAGCTTTCAACGGCCCCTCCAACCGCCTCAGGCGCCTCCTCTATTCAACGCGACGCCCACCTCGCTTCTTCAAGCCACGGAGCGGCTCATTCAGCCTCTTCGTCTGGTGCAGCGCGAAATAATCGAGCAGATTCGGGCAGATAACGCGACTTTTACCAATGTTATTCTGCCGCTTGTGCACGCTGAGAATGCCGTGGCTCGAGAAGCCCACGTGCTTATTTTCTACAAATCGGTATCCCCTGATTCAGAGCTGCGCAACGCTTCGAGAAAGGCTCAAACGCTTCTTGACGACTTCATGGTTGAGAGGGCCATGGACGACGCCATTTTCACGCTGATCGATGCTGTGCTGCGGAAAGCTGAAGACCTAGATCCGGAGTCTCTACGACTATTGAGAAAGAAGCACAATGAACATGTGCGGAACGGCTTGAATCTGCCGCCTGGGGCGCAGAGAAAGCGCTTCGCCGAAATCAAAAGCCAACTGAGCCGACTGACTGTCAAGTTCCGGGAGAATATAGACGAGACAGATGACGGGATGTGGCTTACCCCCGAAGAGCTGGATGGATTGCCTGAAAGTGTTATTTCACAGCTGGAAGACGGGCAAGGGGAGAACAAGGGAAGGTTGTTCGTATCGTTTGCACTCCCATCCTTCTACCCGACACTCAGGTTTTTGAAGAGAGCCGATGTTCGGCGGCGCTTCTACATTGCCGGGCACAATGAGTGTAACCAGAATGTCCCAATCTTCCGGGAAATTGTGCTTCTTCGCGATGAAGCCGCTCGTCTTCTGGGGTATTCCAGCCATGCGTCATTTCGCCTGGAGGAAAGAATGGCCAAAACACCTGCAACGGTTAATAAGTTCTTGGATAACCTACGATTGAGACTAGCAGGTGGTGGCCATCAAGAGACTGAAGCCCTGCGGCAGCTCAAAAAGCGGGACATTGAATCTCGGGGAGAATCGTTTGACGGTCGATTTTTCGATTGGGACTTTTCATATTACAAGCGGGTGATGCTAGCGACTCAGTACTCGGTCGATCAGCAGAAGGTTGCGGAATACTTCCCCTTGCAGGTTACTATTTCCGGCATGCTGTCTACTTTTGAGAAACTAATTGGTCTTGTTTTCCACAAAAACACAACAGACCTTTATGAACATGGTCAAGAATATTTCTGGCATGAGGATGTTCAACTGTTCAGCGTCTGGGATCACGCGAAGCAAGGTGGCGGATTTGTCGGCTACCTGTACTTGGATCTTTTCCCTCGTGAAGGGAAAAATGGGGGTGCGGCAAACTTCAATGTGATACCGGTATGTCCACGACACAATCCCTGCTTGCTAACTGGAGATGCTAATATTCCCTGTAGGGTTTCAGTCGGGAGGACGGTACTCGCCAGTACCCTGTAACGGCGATGGTATGCAGCTTTGCCAAACCTACGTCCCAGAGTCCCAGTCTATTGAGGCACGATGGAGTGGTTACCCTTTTTCACGAGCTGGGCCACGGCATCCATGACCTTGTATCGAAGACCACATACGCCTGTTTTCATGGCACAGAGACTGCCTTGGACTTTGGTGAAGCTCCCAGTCAGATGCTCGAGAATTGGTGCTGGGTGCCATCTCAGCTAAAGGCCCTTAGCAAACACTACTCGTCCCTTTCACCAGAGTATTTACAATCCTGGCAATCGAAGTCAGACGAAAGTCAGAGACCGCCGCCTGAGCGGATGCCGGACGACATGATCGAGAGCTTAGTCAGGTCAAGGTACGTGAATGGCGCATTGTTCCATCTGAACCAGCTCTGCATCTGCATTTTCGATATGGCGGTCCACCACCCCGAGAGCCACAGCGCGATAGAGAACATGAATATATCTGCGACCTACAACAAGATACAAAGCGAGATATACCCGCCAGATGGCCCAGAGGCTGTGGGCTACGGTGACGAATGGGGCCATGGTTACGTCCGCTTTGGACACTTGGTCGATGAATACGACGCGGGATATTACAGCTATTTATTGTAAGACCAGAATAACCCCTCCAAAACTTATCTTTCAGGTCATTTTCTCATACAGTTGCCGCTCAGTTCCAAGGTGTACTCCGCCGATATCTTCCACACTATTTTCAAGGCGGATTCAATGAATGCAGAGGAGGGTCGGAGATACCGATATACTGTCCTGGAAAAGGGGGGGAAACAAGATGAGATGAAGACCCTTACAGAACTTCTAGGCCGGCAGCCCAACATGGACGCATTCCAATTGGAGCTCGGTCTCGAGTGACGGAGCTGCCTAGGCAGACGTTTTCCCAAGCAAAGAAGCCCCAGTCTAGCCATCTAAAACACTGCTTTGAATGCACCATTTCAAGATTTATATACCTTACAAGTATCTGTTTTATGGATGAACCGCGTTTTTATCTTCAAATGCAGGAGGGTAGTAGATATACTTTTCCATATTATATCAAACAATCAAGGCTACAATGTTGTGATATTGGACATAGCCGGTCTTTATGAAGCTACCTAGCTGCTCATTCGATACCCCGACTGACTTAACTCGCATAGATCGCGGTGGTGGTTACATTAGATTCCCGTGTTAGGTGGTACATCGTATGCTGCCCGCCCACCGCTTGTCTTTGAATACTTCCGTGTTGTTAGTATCTGATGAACAATACTGCTCATGAAGCCCATGTTTGAGATGTAAGTCAAAGCTTTTTATAATATTCAATGAAGTGTGTTCCTTGCCTATCATTGTCTCTATCCGCTACTTAGGCTCTCTCTGTCCTTAGACATGTTGACATTGCTATAAGCATAGGCCTCGTTTCAAAGCAGCACGGCGAATTTCACGAAGCTCCCGCTGGCGGTTCCTGAATCTTGCTAACATGGCGGGTATATGATCTCCACGATGCTTCTGATTGCATCCGGTTCCGCCATCAGAAGAATCGTTTTCACGCAGTGGTCCGTATGCCCTTGCTTGATCGTCTCCGCGTCCGTCACCCACCCATGCACCAGTGCTCTATTCAACTTCTTCCACATATACAAACAGTGTGCCCAGTGCCAGCGATGCGTCGTCCAGATAAGGCCAGTCTGCGACCCCAGCGTGTCAGGATCATCCAGCAACGGCTCGGTACCGTTCGGGTCCCGGAAATAACGCCACGGATGTACAGCCGCGAACTCGGCCGCCAGCTCGTGATCGATACACCGGGGCGGCAGCCAGGCCGTGGCGATGATGTCGAAGTGGCAGCCTCGCGCCTTTGCTTCCGCCGGCGTCTTGCCGCAAGGGAGTGGTGTGAACTTGTGCGACCAGGTCAGCTGGCCAGAGGGGAAGGATTTGCCGTCGGCCGTCAGGACGGCTTCACGGAGGTCAGTGGGTGAAGGAACAGCCGTGCTCCGCCCGGAAAAGAAGGCTGCGAGAAGCAGGGCTGTTATCAGGGTGGACCAGCACAGCCCATACATCCAGCGAGTCCCCGTCCAGCGTTGGGGAGGCAGGTAAATGAACCCGCCTTCGTCGTCTTCGTCGACGTCTTCTTGGTTACTGGCGCCATATTTTCCAACCGGATCGATTGGGACTGGTTTGTTCGGGTGAGCGTCACGTAACATCTTGAACAAAGACTGAGGCTTCCATGAAAAGGGTGGCATTCTTGATGCCCAGTGAATGCAAGGATCGAGGGTCGCTTTGATAGAGCCCAGTGGATGCTTCTAATGGCCGAGTTTTGTGCGGAAGTCAACCGGCAACTCCAGAGAAGCATACAGCCCCTTGAGCAAAGCCTACCAGACCATTATCAATAACGTTCCTGTGCTTAGTCAAATTACATCAAATCATAGTTTGATGACTGACGGAGGTCTAACTATTGACTTACGTCAGACCTCAGATGACGTGATGTGCTCTGAAATATATCGCTCCTGGCGGGTTGTGGATCCCGATGTTATATTACGTTACGTTATGTTGCTGCCTCCTTTTATAGTTGGGACTTGCTCGACTAATAGCTGAGAGTTTCTTCTTAGTGGCTTTCGTATGCGATCTTGATCGGCAGATTCATACGCCGATCTATTCTTTTCAGTTTGTCATAGTGCGATGTCTCTTGCGGGAGATTCCTTAGGTCCAAAGAAACATCAATCACTATGGCAGAAGGGCAGTCCTTTGAAGAAGAATCGGACGGCTTGTTGGGTCTGTCGAAAGAGGTCACGCACAAAAGTCGTCGGCATGATAGTCTCGCGAGATGTTTCACTTGTATTTCCGTTTTATTGAACGGTATCTTCGCTGGGCTTGGCCTGATATACTGGATCTGGATAGTCCAGAGCACGCATTCATCATATGAGACCGGGTTCCACTCTGATCTAGGTGAGTGTTTTCTCAACCCGATCTTTCCGAGCCCAATTTTAAACACAATCCACAGAGGCAATTAAATCACACATCCGATTGGCGCAACATAACTTTGCAGGAGGTGTAGAGTTGGACAACGACGGGAGCTTCTTCACAGACCACGAGAGCCATCAATATGTTGCGACCCCTTCCCCGGACGTCGACCACGCGTGGAATAAGCTTCTGACTGGTGAGTCTTGATTTGGCACACGGATGTCGACCTTGGTGCATCCTACTCATTCTGATAGGCTTGAACATTGACCTAGGGTGGCCGGGGGAGAAGCTGAGTGGGACAGCTTTTCAATGGCCAGAGTCGGGTCTCTATTTTACTGGTCTCGAAGTGTTCCACTCACTGCATTGTCTGGTTCGTTAAATCTCTCATTGGAGACAACCTATACTCTGATAGTAACGCCTGAACTAGAACCGACTCCGCCAGGCGCTCTATCCCGAATACTATCACGTCTTCAACAGTTCCAACGACCCCTCGCGCGAGGACCATATTGGTAGGTACAAAGAACAATGTTGCGGTTTGACTGTTCACCAAGTACTAACGAAGAAGAAGGCCACTGCATCAACCACCTACGGCAAGCAATTCAGTGTCATGGCGATCTCACGCCGATGGAATGGAAGCAGGTCGGCAACAAGATCATTCTCAACACACAGACGCGTCATACGTGCAGGGACTTTGACAGAATCCATAAGTGGGCGGCGCAAAGGCAAACCAAGTTCGAGGATATCGAGAGCATTAATAACGGCAGCCTCTTTGTAGTAGATTGATTGAGAGACACCTATTAGGCTTAAGATTGATCAACCTATCAGCGAGCCCTCGAACATAGCATTGACATCAGTATGGATGATGCTTTGATATGAGGATCTGATCCAGCGACGCAGAGGGTGAAAGTTGTGTAAGACAATACAGAGAACACGTAAGTTTTTGCAATGCTGCACAGCGCATGTCGCGAGGAATCATCCAGTCATAGTTAGTTTTCCATGAGGACGGGAGCACCAACTTCAGTGGTTATCATACCAGAAGAATGCAACTTCATGCGCTGCAGCTTTTATCATCTTTCCCCTATAGGTTATTTCCCCATAGTTTAATTTTAATTCCTAGAAGCAAAGTGCAGGAAGCACTATAAGCGTTATCGTTCGTTACATCATAGCAGCTGATTTTCATCTTACATAGTAACAGCATAAAAAGAAATTCATTCACATCACAAAGAAAGACAAAAAGATTCATTGGGCTCAATCGGGGATCGAACCCGAGACCTCGCCCATTTTCACGCTGTGCGCAAGGGTTGCGAGACCCGAAGGGCGAATCATACCACTAGACCATTGAGCCGACGTCGGCTGAGCAGTCCCTAAGGGACCGAATACGTCGTGATTAGCAGCGAGGCCAATTTTGGTAACTATGTAGCTTAGCGCACAGTCACCCGCACATCTGTCCGCTGGATGCTGGTGCTTGGGTCTCAAGTGACGAACCTAGAAAGTCGGTCATTTTTCAAGGCGAAGCAGAATATGCATCGTAAACCGCTAGAATTTCGCTGAAATGATTCCATCTATCTTTACACAATCGTACAACACATATGAGCATCTATGCAGCGGGCACCTTGACGCCCTGGGTATCTTTAGGCGAAAGCCCCGCCAACCTCCTGAAGCCAATGTTCTCAACAATCCTCAACCCCCCGTTCAGCGTGATGATCCCCTGTCCTCCAGCCGCCAAACTCGCATCATGCTTCCCCATCGCCATCTCCGTCATAAACTTGCCCAGGTACTCGGTCGGGCTCACGAAGGATGGCACCAGCGCCCTCGTCAGCGGGCCAATCATCACGTTGGCGGCGTTGTACACCATGCCGGGGTCCGGGATGTACTGCTTGATGGCCGTGTGCTTCTGGGCATCCACGAAGGCCGGGCGGATGGACTCGGCTTGCAGCCGGGGGTTCGCGGCGCGCATCTCGGAGAGGAGGGTCTCGGTCTCGCCCTTGACGCGGGCGAAGATTGCGCTGAACATGCCGGGCTTCTGGGTGGCGCCCTCGCCGGAGACGTAGACGAAGCGGAAGGGCTCGTTGTTGGGCGGTAGCGTTGCGAAGGCCTTTGCCGCTGCCAGTGTGTAGTCTTTTGTGATTTTTACGTATTCCCTACGGATAACTGTGTTAAGCAAGGATTCTTTCCTGACATCAAGGGGGGGGGGGGGGGGGGGGGAGTCAGCTTACTCTTTGGTGACCTTGTTCTGGCTGATGCCCAGCGCCCAGACGACGCCATTTGCGCCCTTCAACTTGTCAAGCACGTCGGGCTCGTACTTGTCAAAGTCTCTGTGAATGATGACATTGATCCGGGGGTCTTTGGCGTCGTCTGCCATCGGGATCGGTCTCCTGCTGAGGATGGAGATCTTGGTGACGTCCTTCATCTTGATCATGGCGTCCAGGACGGACGAGCCGACCAGGCCAGTTGCGCCGGTGAGGATGAGATGCATCGTGAAGAGGATGAGCTGGCGGTATGACTGCGTGAGTGTCGAGAGACGTTGGATCACAAATCTTGACCGAAATACTCACAAAACAGGTGGGCTGTTCAATGTCTTTTAAAACCGGCGTCAGCAACGATGAGCGGCCGCATAGTCCGCTCCCAGCGGAGAATGCTCACCAAGGAGCGGGCATTTCGTCCCCACTGCCGCCCCGTAAGCCGCCGCAGGCGTCAGTGGACGTAACGGCGCCGGAGTTAGCAGTATCACCACTGAGAGCCCCGGCTTTGCCCGCTCTCATGCGGTCTGCTCACCGGAGCCGGGCCAATACATTGTGCAGGACTCTTCCGGGTTCTTGTCCCAATCAACGGTCTCAGATTCCGGCCTAAATCAAGCTCACATGATGCTATTTATCGGGTGAACTTCTCACGATTCTTTTGCTCTCATTGCTGTGGCTGAAGAGAAGAGC